AATATAATTTTACAGGCGGAGGGGAATACCTCTTCGTTTTTAAGAGCTGCACGATCCGGGAACCTTGATAAAGTCGTTGAACATTTGAAAAATAAAATCGATATAAATACATCTAACTCTGTAAGTATTTAGAATGAATTGTATCTGTCGCATATTTTAAAATTRTACTCACTTAATCGTTTATTTTCAGAATGGTTTGAATGCTTTGCATTTGGCTTCAAAAGACGGACATTTGGAAATCGTAAGAGAGTTATTGAAAAGGGGCGCTAACGTAAACTCGGCTACAAAAAAAGGAAATACTGCACTTCATATTGCTTCTCTCGGTATATACAATAAATATTCCATTTTTTTTTCAACGATTTACATAAATAATGTGTTTTTAGCGGGGCAATATGATGTGGTGGTTACCCTCGTGGAACATGGTGCATTTGTAAATGTGCAAAGTCAAAATGGTTTCACCCCTTTGTATATGGCTGCGCAAGAAAATCATGACAGAGTTGTTAAGTATTTGTTAGCGAATGGAGCCAATCAAAATCTGGCAACTGAGGTATGACGTGTGAAAAAAAGATTAAGTTCGAACAARCTATTTAATAACTGAAAATTGGATTTTTAGGATGGTTTTACACCATGCGCTGTTGCAATGCAGCAAGGCCATGAAAAGGTAGTAACTGTGTTATTAGAAAATGATACCAAAGGTAAAGTGCGTCTTCCTGCATTGCATATTGCAGCAAAAAAAGACGATTGCAAGGCCGCAGATTTACTTCTTCAAGTAAAAAATAAATATTGATTTAAACTATGAWATTATTGCATAYTCGTAAAATCGAATTGMTATAACAATAATATACTTTTTGTCGCATAGAATGATCATAATCCAGACGTAACATCTAAGAGTGGATTTACTCCATTACATATCGCTTCACATTATGGAAACGACGGTATTGCTAAACTTCTTCTTGCTAAAGGCGCTGACGTCAACTACTCTGCTAAAGTATGAAACTAGCATAATTATTTTCGTTAAATTGACTATAAAAATTAATATTATTTATTTTTTTGTAATAGCATAACATTACTCCATTACACGTGGCAGCGAAATGGGGCAAAAGCAACATGGTATCTTTGTTGCTTGAAAGTGGTGCAAATATTGAAGCTAAAACTAGAGATGGTTTAACGGCTTTACATTGCGCTGCGAGATCCGGACACGATCAAGTGATTGACATGCTTTTACAGAGAAATGCTCCAATCAGTTCAAAGACCAAGGTTTGTTGTGAACCATACGATTTATCAGTTATTAATTATTTTAAATACATTATACAAATTAAACACATAATATTATAATACTTAAAATAAACCTAACCTAGCCTAACCTAAAAAATGTTCTGAAATGATTTTCAATTTTTATTCGTTTTCGAAAATGGATGAAAAAAATCAAAGCTGAAAAATATGTTATTTTTTTAATTTGTAGAACGGTTTGGCGGCATTGCACATGGCGGCTCAAGGAGATCACGTTGAAGCCGCTAAAGTGCTATTGTCCAATAACGCTCCGGTTGACGACGTGACCGTAGATTATTTGACTGGTCTTCATGTGGCCGCACATTGCGGACATATCCGGGTGGCCAAACTCTTGTTGGAGAAACACGCGGATCCAGATGCCAGGGCGTTAAATGGTTTCACGCCACTACACATTGCGTGCAAAAAGAACCGCATCAAAGTTGTAGAACTGCTACTTAAGTACAACGCGAGCTTGGAGGCGACTACGGAAGTAAGTATACTTAGTCTATACTCTAAACCTGATCATAACTAATATAAGCGCCTCGGACCTCGGTCTAATGCGGTTGATTCGACGATAATCGCTATAGTGTAATATCGATGTTTATAACGATTATTGTTTTTCATATAGTCTGGTCTCACTCCGTTGCACGTCGCCAGTTTTATGGGTTGTATGAACATCGTGATTTTCTTGTTGCAACACGAGGCAAACCCGGACCTGCCGACGGTGAGAGGAGAAACTCCATTGCATCTGGCTGCCAGGGCCAATCAGACAGACATCATACGGATATTGCTCCGCAACGGAGCTCAAGTAGACGCCAGGGCTAGAGTACGTGTGAATTGTGTGCCGATTCCTAAATGGTCAGATGTACATTTTATTTTAAATATTTTTTCGTTTGTTGTGCAGGAGAAACAAACACCGCTTCACATAGCTTCCAGGTTGGGTAATGTGGACATCGTAATGTTGCTGTTAGCTCACGGTGCTGCAGTCGATTCGACCACGAAAGATCTATACACCGCTCTACATATTGCCTCTAAAGAGGGCCAGGAGGAGGTAAGAGCACTGATTATGAAACGCATTATGGATCACGTGGACACAACATATTTGCTTGATAAGTTTTGGTCTGTTAGAAGAGAATATTTTATTTAAAATGATTAAATATTGTGATTCTTTCCTTATTATTATCTTTATATCATAATATTTGGTACARCAGTACAGCGTACATCGTCCTTATTTAATTGAGAAAAACTGGTGATATCTATTCGGTAAAATATTTTATCACCATCAAAAATACCCAATGTCTTTATTTTAATTAAATCTTGACCAATCAGTTATTATAGACCATAATAATTGTATCAATATAATTACGTATAAAAGAATTCTTAAATAACTCAAGTGATTTTAATATTTGAGTTACAAATATGCTACAAATATTATYATTCTAAAATAATTTAAATTTGTAAATTAAAAGTAATTACGTATTCAAATTCAAATTTCGGTGCCAATAATAATTTATGTAAGCTTTAAGTACGTAAAAAAAAATGTTATCAGTTATAAGAATATGAATTAAAGTGTCCTTCTAAAATGTCGTCGATTAAGTACTTCGTGTATGACGTAATTTATTTCTGAACAAAGGATTCACTGCCATATTATTTTCATCGAAATGTGTTCGTATTCTTCGTAAATAATACTAAATGATTAAATTTAATCTTGAATAAATATTAATTAAAAAGCAATAAGAAATGAGGAAAATATACCTACGTACAGTGCCAAAAATTAGACATTTGTTTTTAAATGTATGATATTTATAAATCAGTATTACTTCSGTATTTATCGTGTCATATATTAATCTTCAAGCCTAACCTATTATGATGTTCCTTTTTGTAATCAGTAGGTTGGGAATCAATACACTAGTCTTCAGGTCTATAAATTGATGTATGATTTAATACTTTAAAATTTGATAAAATATTTTGATCAAATTGTGCATAAGCATTTAATAAATTATTCATCTTTTGATTTTCAAATTACAACTAAATGAAACTACATAATTGAATAAGTTCAGTAAATTTATACGTAGACCCAAAACTAAGTTCAAAATCAAATTTTTTTTATTTAGTTAATAGTTAAGCTATATAATATGATTATTTTATATTATTTAGCAAATTTGCACTTATAAATTATTGTTGTACGGTTTAATTATTATTACTGTGAATGTTAGAAATTAGAAAATATAATAGATTTACATATTTTATAACATTAAAAAGTTGTCATACTAGATGATGATGATATATTATAATACAATTAATATAGTGCTGTTAGTTTTTTTTTAAGTTTCATAAAAGTTTACATGACATAAATGTTATATTATAGCATTATTTTGATCTCTTAATCGTTGTTAAAATTCAAAAGACATCTTTTTATAATAGTTTAATCTCCGTTAAAAATAAAACTAGAATATGGATGTGAATATTTTATGCTTAATCATTGTCATTGTTGTTTTCTTAAATTAAAAAAAAAAAAATATTAAATATTTATAAACACGTTTTTGTTCGCTTTGCCTATTTTTTTTTTTTTGTCAAGCCACCGCAATTAAAATGTCATTTTTCCATTCTAAATTTCTTTTATCTTCAAAAATCAAGCAAGTCACTTGGTACTTGGTAAAATCGATATTCATTGATTACCTAGGTAAGTCCTGTAATGYTATTCTTATAAATATTTTCCATTTTTCCTACCATATTAAATGTGGCTGAATATTATTAGCCTAACTATCCTAATGCAATAATATATTATTTATTATGACTTTATATTGACTTATTGGCTGTAAACTATTTACCATGGGCACAGGCTTTAGCTTCACAACACTGATGCAATGTATAAAAATATTTTAAAAGCTTGAAATTATGTATAGAAAAAATATCTAACAGCATTAACTACTTTAATAACAAGCTTAAACTTTGTAAAATATTGTACACAAATTTATAAGTTGACAATGACTGATAATGAATGAGAAACACTGGACTTTTTTGTTGGCAGGTTGCATCAGTGTTGTTGGAGAATGAAGCCTCAGTGACAGCAACTACTAAAAAAGGGTTTACCCCACTACATTTGGCATCAAAGTACGGCAACATTAAAGTCACCAAGTTGCTGTTACAAAAACAAGCTCCAGTTGATGCACAAGGAAAGGTTAGTAATGATTTTATAATTAACCGTTTGAGTATTAATATTTTAACAAGTTTTGGAAAATACATTTCAACGTATATTGTATTACTTATATTAAACGTTGAAATATTAATTAAAATAAATACACATTTAGTAGGACGTCATTAGGATGTCGTATCTCTTGTATCCATCCTTTTACATATATTTGGAATCTCTACATTCAAGCTGTCTAATCTCGATTTATTACTTTACTTAAAGATTTAAAGATACTTTGAAAAATTAAATGTCACTTAGAATTATTTCGAGGACAAGAATAAACTCTTCTATGAAACACCAAATATTATATGTAATAATATTATAATATAAAGTTATAAGATATTATACATAAAAACTTATAAATGATTAATACTAAAAATTAAATAAAAKTTCAAAGAGCTAATAAAACAACTATAATTGGAGGRAAAAAATGAAGTTGAAAGATAAATACATAATTAACTTTAGTCATGTGACAATTTTTTCCTTGTACGTGTAAATCCAAAATTCTAATTAAGACTTCAAGATTCATAAAATAAATAAATACATAATAATAGAATTTTTTATAATTTCATAAAGTTTAATCGTTATTCATGAAAAATTCAAGATATTTGTCTAAATATATAAAATATATACGTAATTTCACGTTGAAGATTTAGTTTATAAATTGAATGATTTTACAAAATAGGAAGTAATAAATGAGTTTTTTTCAACAATTAAAATTTATAATATCAATAAATTGTTGTTTTTGTAAAAATTGTGTTTAAATCATTTTAAAAATAAATTTTTTTAAATGTTATGCTAATTTTTACGTTTTTAATAATTGTTCCACTATAAATTAAAAACATAATAATTTAAAAAATATAAATAATATTTTCAATTTTCATTTTTCATTTTTGATCCTCACAATTTAGATTATAACTGTAATATATATATATATTACAGTTATAATCCAAATTGTACATATATATATATTTATTATTTATGGATATTTATATGATATTCTATATTTGGAACAAAAACACATATCAAAATCAAATGTAGCTATAAACGTGCATATTTATCTTTTAG